AATAGTTTTGTATGTACAAACATAGTTTTATTTTCTTCTTGCTTTACCTTTCGCTTTAAAATCATTAACCATGAAAAATTAGTTTATTGCATATTTAAAAATTATAATCAAAACTTTACAAAAGACTTTATTATCTTACATATATAAGTTTTAAAAAACTGCTCCAACAGAACAATACAAAATGGTAGGAATTTGCGTTAAGTACTGTCTTGTACATTACTTCAATAGGTCTTTGGTGATTAAAGTAAATACAGTTTTTTTTGGAATATTGAAAAACAAGCAATAAAATAAAAGCCTGGCATAATTTTAGTCGGTAGTCTAAACTGAAATTAACTATTGATTGCAGACTTCTGAAGTGAGTATGTCATGAAAGAACTTTTAATTGTAAGCTCTATGCCGCAAATTTTACAAAAATATCTCAATAAATAAAAAAGTTATGCGACTTTAAAAAAAGCAAAATTTGGTAAAAAACTGATTTTCAAAAAGTGCCATTTTTGAGAACCCATATTTTCTAAACTAAATAACATAGAAGTGTAGAAATTGGTAAAGTTACTGCAAAGTTTGTAATATATATGCCCAATTTTTTTCAGTCATCTAAAATGAGTCTTTCTAAGGTAAAAAAAATAATTGAAAGTGACAAACATGCGTTTTGGTCACTTTTATTTTCATAAAAAAAATTCAATTTTTTTTTTTTTTGCTTTGGACATAGAATAACTCTAAAACTATTGTGTTGGTAACATTAACAGGAAGAATGTGTTCATTATTTTAAAAAATCACATGAGTTAAAATATATTTTTAAAAAAAAATGCCACAGTTATCTAGTGCAGGAGAAACAGAATCAAAATTTAGTGGAGTAATATAATGTAATCTAATAAAGACGTGATGCCTACAAGTGATGCAGCAGTTGATGCTACATTCAAACCTATCGGGTTGATAACTGCTTTGGGGGAACAGTTTTTAAAACCACAACTCCACATCTTTGTATGTCTTGTTTCCCTCAACCTTGATCTTGTGGAGCATCAAGAGTAAGTGATATGTTTTGGGAACTGTAGGGGGGGGGCTTGGCCTTCTTCCCTTCCCTTTAAAGGAAAGTTCTGGGTAGGCCACCATAAATGTCTCCAGCTATGGAATAAATAATTTATTTAGGGATTAATAAAATATATTTAAATTTACCTCTAGCCTATTGTGTAGGCCTACTATTTGTCCTATGACTATAACTGGAAACATATGAAAACGCCTGAAAACACCTTTTTGTTAAAAGTAATGTATACTTGATAGTATATTTTTAATATTCATTCTATTGAATGAAATATTCGTTGTTTGTGCCACAATGATTGAGATATCCAATGATGAAGGTGCCATACTGTGGTTCTCAACATCCTATAGGACAACTTAACTGTACTTCATTGTTACTATATGCATATAAAATAAATAAATTATGAGAAATACTACTATTACTACTTACACTTACAACTAATATAACATTTAAAACTTAGTCACAACATGTACAATCTTAATAAATTACCATCTAAAAATTGATCTGGTACATTTTATTAAGGAGACTGGCGCAGACCATTTCACATTATTCAGCAGGGGAATCAGAATCAGAGTGCACAACAGAAAATAAAAAATTAATCACATTAGTCCTTAAAAATTAGTGTCTTTTGTTTTTAAATAAATTAATAAAAATGTAGAGTTATTATAATTATAAATTTCTTTTGTGTTTCATTAATATTTTATAAGTATTTAACCTTCGTTCCCTGTAAATAATTGAGTTATTCCACATAGTAACCAGGATTGTCTGGTGGCCATTTTGAATTTGTCGATTCATAATTTTGACGTGATAGTCCAGATAAACTGTAGTAATACGACCCTATCATTAATCCCATTAGATAGATTTTAAAGAATTAGTAAACACTAGCATCTAATAGTTAAGTGCATCCATATTTTAAGTCCCTAGAATGTCCTGATTTAAATAGCTTCACGTCTAAACACACCCTGTGTACAAGCGTAGTTCACACGCTAGAAACCGTGGACTAGTAGAGTTCAAATTTACATTAATAACGTGTACTAATTAAACCAAACTGACATTCAAACTTAAAATTCATTTATTAAAATGGAAATGAAACTTTAAAATTATACTTACAACTTGTTTGAAGGCTCTAGCAAGGTTAAAATCCGTTTGGCATCATCGGTCGTCAACCTTTAAAACCGTTCGGCGAGCTACTAATTCGGGGCTGAAAGTTGACTCAAGGGTTATATGTTTGATGAGGGCACGGCTTTGCGACAGTAAATCAGAAATACTTGAATTTACAACACAAAGTAGTTATAAAAGCGAACTTTACATCGGTGTAAAAATTGAAACAGAATTAGTTTGTTTTCGTGTATATATCGTCATTTAAATTTTAAAAACTGATTTTTAAAAAGGAAATAAGCAAGTTATTTTTTTCAATTTATACGTCCAACGATAGACTAGAATTCGCTCTTTAAAATGACATTAAGATTATGCTTCTACGATGCTTCATCGCGAAGCCGCAACTAAATGAAACAGTGTGGGGTCGATCGGTACTCGCAAAACGGTGAAATTTGTTGACGTAACTGATACTTTTCAAACAAATATAAAACACATTCAAACATGTGTTACAGATATAAAAATACCAGATTACGACAGATAAAGACTTAAACTTTATTGACATATAATTTTTATTCTTATAGGACAACTCGAAGTAGTGAAATTTATTTTTTGAAAACCGCAAAAACTGACCCTAAAACGCACTTTTTCGCCAGTTTGGACTACCTAATTTTAGAAGAGTTAAAACCTAATGACCGGTTCTACCATCTTTGAGAGCTGCTATGTGCGTGGAGCCTGGCACGCTCGTCATGAGCACACACGCATGACGTACTCACGTCCAGAATCCAGTCCCGGCATGCCCTGCACGTTCGTCCCCTCAAACTTCTCCTTTAATCAGCTCACACATTGTTGTTGTAAGATCTGGTCGATGTACGCACGTGTAGGACGAGGGAGTCCAACAAAAAAGGTCGATGTACGCACGTGTAGGACGAGGGAGTCCAACAAAAAAGGTCGATGTACGCACGTGTAGGACGAGGGAGTCCAACAAAAAAAAGGTCGATGTACGCACGTGTAGGATGAGGGAGTCCAACAAAAAAAGGTCGATGTACGCACGTGTAGGACGAGGGAGTCCAACAAAAAAAAGGTCGATGTACGCACGTGTAGGATGAGGGAGTCCAACAAAAAAAGGTCGATGTACGCACGTGTAGGACGAGGGAGTCCAACAAAAAAAGGTCGATGTACGCACGTGTAGGACGAGGGAGTCCAACAAAAAAAGGTCGATGTACGCACGTGTAGGACGAGGGAGTCCAACAAAAAAAGGTCGATGTACGCACGTGTAGGACGAGGGAGTCCAACAAAAAAAAAATTCAACGATGCAGACATGCCGGTTTTGTTGAAATTGGAAAACCTGTCTTTATGGGACGTCACAAGCTTTGGTATATATATATATATATATATATATATATATATATATATATATATATATATATATATATATATATATATATATATATATATATATATATATATATATATATATATATATCGCTTGACACGTTGTTACGTAACACTGTATGATGTCACTTAATATGTTTCTAACAATATTCATCAACTTAATCCGGTTTCAAGATGGCAAAAGTTGGACAAAACTCATCTCATAAAACCCGATGAAAATAACGGCTACATTTCAATAGAAGTAGTCAGACAACCAAATACCCACTCACTCACGACAGCACGCAAACACACACACCCACTCACACACCCACACACTCACACACCCATTCTCACACACACTCACACACACACACTCACACACACACACACACACTCACACACCCACTCACTCACCCACTCACTCACCTACTCACACACACACACACTCTGAACCTTAGTTACATTGTGATAGAGGCAGTCAGACCACCAAACCCTCCCTCCCCCTCCCCATCTGATCATCTGAAAGAACGCTAGTCTTACTCCCGCCCTATGCCCGAACAAAACATCATCTACTCCCTACTGAGACACAAATGATGACTCTCTGATGTGTAAGCGGGGGTACCTTCGGTTTTTGTCTGATAACAAACTTTAGTCATGTTCACTACTACAAACAGGGCTGTCTTGGTCATGTTCACTACTACAAACAGGGCTGTCTTGGTCATGTTCACTACTACACCTACCCTCCCCTAGCTATACCTCTGCTACAAACAGGGCTGTCTTGGTCATGTTCACTACTACAAACAGGGCTGTCTTGGTCATGTTCAATACTACAAACAGGGCTGTCTTGGTCATGTTCACTACTACAAACTGGGCTGTCTTGGTCATGTTCACTACTACACCTACCCTCTCCTAGCTACGCCGCTGCTACAAACAGGGCTGTCTTAATGATGATTAGTACAGGGCTGTCCATATGATGTTTGGTGCTACTTATACGGCCCAACCAACACATTCTTTAATTAATAGATCAATACACTCCCCCTTGCAACCCCTCTTGTGTTTATAATGACAAATATCTAAGGAACATGTTTGAAAATAAAAGACAAATGCATCACGTGATAAACGGTTTTCAATAGAAAATGGAAAATATTTTTTTTAAATAATTATAATATTTATAATTATTTTTTTTTTGGTGTCTTCTTTTTTCTGGTTGGGGGGGGGGGGGGAGGGGGGGGGGGGGTTAATCGTTTAGTTTGCCATACTGCGCAGCTGATTATAATTTAATTACATTCATTATTTTAAATCTTTAGAAAAATTTAAAATACACTTAAATCCGTTTTAATGTTACATAGACTCAGATCGAGTATAACCCTAACCTTAACCATTATTTTGATAAATAGAATAATCTTTTTCTTAATTACTATAAAGAAAAATAGAATTAGCCTGATCGCTTGACAAATCACTTTTGACCTCGATATATACGGCAAAACAGAATTACCTGTGAAAAATCCAAATCTCAAGAACTTTCAGCTCCAAACTGTGATTTCCAGCGATTGAACCAGTTGACACTTTAACCCCAACCACTCAATGAACCAGTTTATAACCACCGATTTGAAAAGTTGAGAGAATGTTCCCGAAGATGTTGATAACACCGCGCAGTTCGTGTTTTGTATCCACGCTGTTCCCCACCAACAAACCACCCACCTGTCGCGTGTAGAGCTCCCAACACACCTGACAGGTTCTCACTTTCACACGATGCCACAGACACGCGGGTACACATGAATGTTCCAGAACAGCAGAGTTCTAGAATCTAACCCCGCCATGTAACTTACCTTAACTGTGGTTACCTGTGGTTACCTGTGGTTAACTGTGGTTACCTGTAATTACCAGTGGTTACCTAGGGTTGACTGCGGTTACCTACGTTTACCTGGGGTTACCTGTGGCTATCTGTTGTTACCTGTAGTTATCTGTTGTTACCTGTGGTTATCTTGGGTTACCTAGGGTTACCTGTAATTACCTGTGGTTACCTTTGGTTACCTGGGGTTACCTGGGGGTTAGCTGAGGTTAAGGGCGCTCTTAAAATAAGCTAAATTTCTATATTACAATTGTATACGTAGATCATAAAATAAGCTGCAATTCTATTTATTTAAACCAAATCGATTTTTCAACATGAAGTATCTCTTTATTAAGACAAGCTTTGATTGGCTATTATTTAAGAAAGGTCAATATCATCTTTGTGTAGTAGGTCCATTCTCCTGTAAATATTGTGTTCAGTAGCGATTGAAATCTATAATTATTCTCGCTCTACATTTTTGTTGTATAGTTTAAAAACAAAAATCAATACTCAATTATGTACGCATATATTCGCAACTCCCTATAATCTCTGCTAAGGAACACTAGCATAACCTAGTTAATTAAGTTACGCCAAGTTTGTTTACATTACCTTGTGGCAATGAGGAAAGAAAATATTTTTGGACAAGTAATTGTTTAATTACACAAGTAACAAATACGCATATTCTGTTGAAAATAAATTTAAAAAAAAAACATTCCAAACACAGTTTCTTATAAAATGTGCACATATTTCATTAACACTGCACAGGACCTTCAAGATAATTAATCTTCCTTTTGAGAGCTCTATGGGGCGGTATCATTTGCTTGTAACAAATATTGTTGACAGATAATCGTTTTATAGCGTGCCCATAAAGTGATTAAACACTAATCTTGTAGTAAAATACGCGTTTGTGTAGTTTATACGGGGATTCCTGCGGAGTCTGGAATATCCTATGTAGATAGACGCCAATGTTTACGGCAACTTAAAAAGGCAGTGAACCCATACAATTGCTTTGGCATGAACTATCCACGAATATTTTTATAAAAATATATCACCTTTGGTTGTTTTTTTTTTTTTGTTTCTTTTCCTGCTTTTTTCATATTCGGGGTATTTGGACATTGGGTGCCCCTACCAGGAAATGCAGTATAACTGGAGTATTTTAAATATAAAGAACTAGATTAATGGGGGGTAGTCGGTATTTTATTTTTCGAACACCTCTATTTGTTGAAAATTGAGTGATTAGACCAGTGGAGAAAATGCTTTCAGACTTGGAAGAGTTGCCGTGAAATCACGTGACAGCTCGTCTGGCCATCGTGTCATTGCGGCCAGAATAGAAGTGGCCACGGTGTCATTTAGGTGGCCAGCGTGATGGGACGGCCTCTGGGCCAACGTGTCACTTTGTTGGCCAAGTTGGACGCGCTGTCCGGGCCAGCAGTTAGGGGCCACTCGAGCAGCGTTGGACTAAGTTAATGGAACTCTGGCACTCGGTTACACCGTCACATACAGGGGTCTGGCACTCTGGCATTTATTCACCACGAGAAGAATTCACGGGGTAGGACGGCGGTGGGGGAGGGGGAGGTTAACATTTTTAAAAAAATTTTGTTGTTGTTTTGTCTGTGAACCTAAACAATGTCTATTGAGGTGTTTTTTTAAACGTTTTTTCAAACGTTGTGTGTGCAGGGGTGACGAGGTGTAAATCAGACACAGAGCTGTTAGTGTCAGCGGTGCTAAAGGACGCTAGGATCTGTACCAAACATACGTCAAGTTGGTTTCAACTTCGCACTAAGTGGCGACGTTTCGGGACACCAGGGGCCATAACTGTCACAGTTGTCAATATTTCAAGACCGGTAACTCTTTAAAAAATACAAAAAAAGTTTTGTATGTACAAACATAGTTTTATTTTCTTTATGCTTTACCTGTCGCTTTAAAATCTTAAACCATAAAAAAATATTTTATTGCGTATTTAAAACGGATTATCAAAACTTTACAAAAGACTTTATTACCTTACATATATAAGTTTTGAAAAACTGCTCCAACAGAACAATACGAAATGGTAGGAATTTGCGTTAAGTACTTTCTCCATTTGATTATTATATATGCAATTGATGTTCATGTCTTTGATGCTGTGTAAAATCTATCAAATAAATTATTATTACTGATTTAAAGGTTTAAAACAATTGAATTAATAATAATAAAGAAAAAAAAAGAAAAAAAAAAAACTAATTGAGGACTGTATAGATATAGATGTTTGAAAGGGAAGAGTGTTTGCTTTTACGTGTCTTATTGTAATAACATAACTTTTCCGATTGCTTAAAATTTGTATCATTTTAATTCTCTGTAATCCCAAATTCATTTCAGCTCTACTTTAAAAAAAAAAAACAAATTCAACCCTCTCCCCCCCTTCTCGTCCCCTCAGCCCACCACGCTGATGGAAAAAAAATCCCTTGAATCATCATTTAATTACACATTTGCATTTTCAGTTTCAGGTTGGTTTTTAATTATTATTTTTTCTTTATATTTAGACGTTTTGTATTAGATCTATGTATAAGTAAACCAGTGTTTCTTCCAGACTTTTTTCTCCGGGGGGGCACTTGAAATCTTCGGGGGGGCGGTAAACTTTCTTCGGGGGGGCGGACACTGTTAAAAGTATATATTTTCCATATAAATTATATAAATTTCATTTCGTTCGGGGGGGCGGTAAAAATTTTTCGGGGGGGCTTTGCCCCCCCCGAAGAGATGCCTGGAAGAAACTCTGAAGTAAACCATCTTAAATGAATGAAAGTAGGCTACCAGTAAGAAAGAAATATTACTATTGTAAATCTGTGTCAGTCCTCACAAGCCGGTGATGAAAATTGTAATACTAAAGCGAACACACACAACTGACGCTGTAAATTACATGTCTGAGGCAAAAAAAAAAAAAAAAAAAAAAAAAAAAAAAAAAAATATATTTTTTTAAATTACTCCACTGTATAAATTTAGGCCCTAAGCATTTAACAAAGATACAAAAAAAAAATTAAAAAAAAAAAAAAAATTAAAAAAAAAAAAAAAAAATTACAATTTTTGTTTAAATTTTGTAAAACAAGTAATAAAATAAAAGCATGACAAAATGTAAGAAGAGTTAAAACCTAATGACCGGTTCTACCATCTTTGAGAGCTGCTATGTGCGTGGAACCTGGCATGCTCGTCATGAGCACACACGCATGACGTACTCACGTCCAGAGTCCAGCACCGGCATGCCCTGCACGTTCGTCCCCTCAAACTTCTCCTTTAATCAGCTCACACATTGTTGTTGTAAGATCTGGTCGATGTACGCACGTGTAGGACGAGGGAGTCCAACAAAAAAAAATTCAACGATGCAGACATGCCGGTTTTGTTAAAATTGGAAAACGTGTCTTTATGAGACGTCACAAGCTGTGGTATATATATATATATACATATATATATATATATATATATATATATATATATATATATATATATATATATATATATATATATCGCTTGACACGTTGTTACGTGTCACTCAATATGTTTCTAACAATATTCATCAACTCAATCCAAGTTTCAAGATGGCAAAAGTTGGACCAAACTCATCTCAAAAAACCCGATGAAAATATCAGCTACATTTCAATAGAAGCAGTCAGACAACCAAACACCCACTCACGCACACACACTCACACACACACTCACACACACACTCACACACCCATTCTCACTCACACACGCACTCACACACCCACTCCCACATACACACACACACACTGAACCTTAGTTACATTGTGATAGAGGCAGCTAGATCCCCAAACCCTCCCTCCCCCTCCCCCCCACCCCTATTACCCTCTGATCACCTGAAAGAACGCTAGTCTTACTCCCGCTCTATGCCCGAACAAAACATCATCTACTCCCTACTGAGACACAAATGATGACTCTCTGATGTGTTAGCGGGGTACCTTCGGTTTTTGTCTGATAACAAACTTTAGTCATGTTCACTACTACAAACAGGGCTGTCTTGGTCATGTTCACTACTACAAACAGGGCTGTCTTGGTCATGTTCACTACTACACCTACCCTCCCCTAGCTACGCCTCTACTACAAACAGGGCTGTTTTAGTGATGATTAGTACAGGGCTGTCCATATGATGTTTGATGCTACTTATACGGCCCAACCAACACATTCTTTAATTAATAGATCAATACTTATAGTTTAGGCGCCCCGTCCCCCTTGCAACCCCTCTTGTGTTCATAATGACAAATATCTGAGGAACATGTTTGAAAATAAAAGACAAATGCATCACGTGATAAACTGTTTTCAATAGAAAATGGAAAAAAAAATTTTTTTAAATAATTAGAATAATATTTATAATTTTTTTTTTTGGTGTCTTCTTTTTTCTGATTGGGGGGGGGGGGGGAGGGGGGAGGGTTAATCGTTTAGTTTGCCATACTGTGCAGCTGATTATAATGTAATTACATTCATTATTTTAAATCTTTAGAAAAATTTAAAATACACTTAAAGCCATTTTAATGTTACATAGACTCAGACCGAGCTTAACCCTAACCTTAACCATTATTTTGATAAATAGAATCTTCTTTTTCTTAATTATTAAAATGAAAAATAGATTTAGCCTGATCGCTTGACAAATCACTTTTGACCTCGATATATACGGCAAAACAGAATTACCTGTGAAAAATCCAAATCTCAAGAACTTTCAGCTCCGAACTGTGATCTTCAGCGAGTAAACC